AACAATCGATCGTGCCGTAATATATGGCCAGAGAATAATAGGGTCTTGGAAATTCTATAATTGTTCAGTGGGTCGATTGACTGAACACGTTTGCACTTGGTATTTAAACTTACCAGTAGTTTATTTATGTTATGTACCGATGATAATGCAATTAGGATAACAACTAGGTAAGCCGTAAGTCTAATTCAAAACACACTGCACACCGTACACTCCGAACAGTATTACTGTTTGGTAGACCCGAGACCGGGTATTTTGGCGGGAATTCTGTTCCCACGGCACTGTTCTGATAGAAGCTACTTCTACTAATGGTCCCAGAGGAACGGCCGTAAAGTAGCCAGACTTCTTGTCTCCTGTTCTGGCTGACACATGCGGATTAAAGTTTTAAATTTCGCTATATGCTATAAATATAATTGCTCTCGGAATTGAACAAACTCCTACTTATCTAGATCCTTTCTAAATTCGTTAGAGTTTCATGGACAAAAATAATCGGTACAGTCTCCCTAGCTGCTTGTGTAATTAAGCAATGAAAGCAATCCAAAATTATCACATATAACATAAGTTGTAATAGCAGAAACTTTCTAACCGTACATTCACCCGCCACTGTTCAAGAACCTACATCACTGTTTAAAATCATGACGTGAGCACTGTACATCCAATCAGCTATTCCTTTAGTTAGAATGATAGCCAAAACTATAAGGATTTTGGAGAACTAGGGTAATAGTCATAATTCTAAAATTTGAGTGAGTTACATGTGTTTTATTGACGATGATAAACATTTGTAATGTAAATTACGCTATGCAAGCGCGCACTGAGGGACTTTATGACGTCACGAGGCCACAGCTTATTATTGCAATAACACGCGTTACACGTACGATAGAGAGTTGGTTCTTTCGGCGATACGATTCTTTACCAGTTTGTCACAGCTGATTTAAATCTTAGCCAAATTGGAGACTACAAATTTTTCAGTTAACTGGTCCTTTAATAAACAGAGTTTATCCTGATTTAATTGGCAGTACTTACCATTACATTCATTTTAGCATATACAGATTTTCTCATGACGTCTCTCAACTTATGTTATGCCAGGACCCAGAACTAACCGGAGTTATTTTAGATTTGTGCCTCACCTTTGGCTTTAACTCCTGATTTCTGAAAATCTAGATTTACTGCGGACGTTTTTCCCGTTTAAAATTGCTAAAAACTTATTTTTGGTCTAATAATTGTGTTTTCGAGCCACACGCAAAAATTCTCTGCTACTCTCTGTAATTACATAAGTCTTCATAAATCTTAAAGTTAAACATTAGCATTGGGCAACAAGGAAATGACACTATCTGTAATTACATAAGTCTTCATAAATCTTAAAGTTAAACATTAGCATTGGGCTACAAGGAAATGACACTATCTGTAATTACATAAGTCTTAATAAATCTTAAAGTTAAACAGTAGCATTGCGCTAAAAGGAAATGACACTATCTGTAATTACATAATTCTTCATAAACTTAAAGTTAAAGTTAAACATTCGCATTGGGCTACAAGGAAATGACACAAAATGAGTACCTATAAGTATAATAACATATAATAATTCGACGAATCTTGCAAGCTTGCCTCTCCCATTGCACACCTTTCCTATCTTTACTAACTGGCTCGTTTATATAATCTTAATGTTCAGATTATTTTCTTTTACTTTAAAAGAGAAATTAAGATTTTGTGACAATAAGCACGTAGAATTGTAGGTATATTATCATTTTTTCATTATCTTTTCTTACGATAATAAGATCAAGAAAAGATAATGAATAAATAATATTAGGTGTGTAGGATTTCAGAAATTTCACAACTCAGATAATCATTGTGCATTAAATTTCTATTCCGTTAACATTGGTTAGCACTTTTTGGCCAGTCCCAATCAACAATCAAAATAACCTTCATAACTGCCAACTGGACCATAGTTAGATAAATACCGTTTGGACTGTGGTCTCTGCATATCATAGAGTGACCTGCAATTCTACATGATCACCCGAACTCTTAAAGGACACAATTATCTTCCATATCAAGGATTTAGTACAATAAGCTGCGTCTTGTAGACTGGGTCGGCAATTCCACCACTTCAATAATTCAAGGTAACAAGTTTCTTAGTAAAGCAGCTCTTAAAGTTAACCGTCCGTCAGCCAAGGAGTCTTATGTGGATGAGCATAGTTTATCCTAATTTAATGGGTGCTTACCATTAGTTTAGCATATTAGGATTTGTCCCGCTCTGCTCTCCCAATGCCTTGTATCACGTCGTGACCCCCAATGTCGTTTCACTATAGATCCTGTACTTGTAGAGTTTCTACGATACAGGGGGAGCCGCGCACTCAAAATTCAGGGCGAGCTGCGCACTCGTGCGCGGCGGGTCATACAACGTATGACAACCAATGCCCCAGCCCGAAACCAACCACTTTCGGAAAAATCTCCAAGTTGGCAATGCAAATCAGCTCTAAACGGTCAACGTTTGGACAAGGAATCCCATGTGGATGAGCATCAGGGACAAAAGGATTTCGCGATTATTTTTGCCAAAAATCGCGGTACCGCGAAATTTAACAGGCTATACATTAAACTATACATAAAATTTGTCGCGGAGAATGGGAAATTTCGCGATTTCGTACATGCCGCGAAATCCTTTTGTCCCTGATGAGCATAGTTTATCCTATTTTAATGGGTGCTTACCATTAGTTTAGCATATTAAAATTTGTCCCTCTCCCAATGTCCGGACACAAACCTGGCCAGAGTTCTCTTGGAGAGTTAGAGTTGTGCCTGACGTTTGGTTTTAACTCCCGCTCTCTGGAAATCTAAATTTATCGCGGACGTTTTCTCTCGGGTAAAATCGATAACAGCTGATTTTGGTAACGAACACTGCAAAGACGCAGCGAGCAGGATGATGCCATTAGGCCCACTGGTCGGCGCCCCTCCTAAAATTGAACAAATTAGGTGATTTTAGAGGATACGCCGGTAGAAAATTTCTAAAAAGTGTGTTTCTAGAGCAAAACGCGCAGTTTTGCTAGTACTTCAGTTAAGTTTTTCAAAATTATCCCACATTCAAACGACAATTTGGCCAAGGATGTTAAGTACGTAGCGTTTCTTATAAACGTACGGCATACGAGCGTATTCGGACAAAATTTAACATCAAACTTTTTTTCTAAAGTTCTAAAGCTGCAAAATGTGCCGTATTTCACGTATGTCTTAGAATTTAGACAAACAGCGTATTTTCGACTGGTTTTTCGGCGTACTTAACATCAATGATTTTTGAGCCCCCCTAAGATGCAAGATGAAATTTGTGATAGAGCCGAACCATTTTTTCTTTTGAATGCACCTTTTTGTTGCCTCTATATCTTACTTATAATTCAGAGAATTATCTTTGTTTGTCGTTTGTACGACCGCCCACGTGAAAATCAGACGAGAAATAGGTAGTTGCGTAGTTACCATGGTAACGAGGATTATTGATCAGTTTTATTGATATTACGCTGTGTTTAGTACGAGAAACATTTTAATTGGCTGTATCTTCAGTTCATGTGTAGGCTATTTTTTGACGCCACTTAAACTTACCAACAAAGAATACTATTAGCTTCATCCCTGTGACCACGGGTTTTCTAGTCATATAATCCATCACAGTGCTGGCAAGCACGACCGTTGCCTTTATTCTTAAGTATAAGTATAACTAACAGCCGTTGTTGCTCATATGTTCTATATTCGGGTTTCTATAAGTATAACTACCAGCCGTTGTTGCTCATTATATTTTATATTCGGGTTTCTGTAAGTATTAATTTTTCTAACTAAGATATTTACTGTTACCTTAATGTTGAAACTTATTCTTCATGTATGGCTATACCTTATCAACTTAGCATTTATTTTTGATTTTCACCTCACAATAATGAAATAAAACATTCAATTTGTATACTTCTATTTTAGGAAGACACAGATATGTCAGCATTTCCAATGATGCTAACCCTGGCTTTAGCATCACTTCTCCACTATAGTAAGTTGAAATTAAAGTCTTATGTTACATTTCAAATAATAAAAAGACCCAAACGTCCAACATAGGTAATTGCAAACCTTGTATCAAGATTATTCGTAAATTGTAGACATAAAACCTGTCTCTCCCTCAGGACCTCTGGCAGTGGGAGCAGAAAACACGCAGATCGATATAAAGAGTTCAGAAGCTAAGAGCCACAATAACAACAGACCGCCCTCTAACGCACATGATGGGAACTACAGTACGTTCTACAGCGTGAAAAATGGTGATACAGCCGGGAACTTTCTGAAACTCTATCTGGACGGTCTATACACCATCTCAACAGTGAACGTAACGACTAGACATACTAATAGATTCATAAATACGATTGTTATGGTTATAACAACAGATGCTGCAAGGTTAGGGGCTGATAACACGAAGACGGACTGCGGCACTGTGACAGGTAGTTTATCAAACTGAGATTTGGGCTATTAATAGATTTCTGTACTTCATAAACGCTTAACGTGGCGACTGGCGTATGTTAACTGACTAAAAATATACAATGATCTTTCTACATCCAAAATCTATAACTCCATGTATCCACAGCAAATGATTTGCGGACTGGCAACAGCCAAGAGGAGCAGACTTACCCGTTCGACTGTAAAGGTGGTAAAGGCGACACTATCATGATTACGGACACGGACTCCGGGACAACTGGGCACGGAATTTCAGAAGTGAAGGTCTACGGAACATCTTTTCCGAGTAAGTTAATAATATTAATACAATTTAACAACATTAACGTAGGAGATAACACGCGCACAGGCCACAGCGCGACCACTTTTATCAAAGTAAAGAGCACCACGTGCTCAGCAGACAGTAGGAATATGTTTACTCCTTAACCAAGATATCTAATGGGAGAGGGGTGACTATGGGAACTTCTTGTGTCACGAATACTGGACCCTCCTACTCAAGCACTAAATTAAAAGGGTTAGCTTCAGGTAAAAGTAGTTGAACTTACCTTGTATACAGCACCAGCAACTGTAGCACAGATGTGATCGTGACTCGGAGCAGTTCCGTGAGACTTCATAAAATCCAGATTCTGTGTTATGACGTCACCTGGAGGAAACAAATATTAAAGACCAAATTTTAAATCAATAGAAAAAAAAAAACGGACGTCTTGAAACATTTATCTTGAAACGCACAATGCCCATATAAGGACCTAACCAGGAATAATACGTGATGCCCATAAATAAGGACCTAACCAGGAATAACACGTGATGCCCATATAAGGACGTAACCAGAAATAACACGTGATGCCCATATAAGGACCTAACCAGGAGTAACGATGTGTTGCTCCAACTCTTCTCCCTGTGAAGCTATCACTCTAGTCCTCTTGTAAGGAGCTCGTATTATCTCCATGTTTACTTAAATCTAGTGAAGTAGTGGGGATTATACAAGAAAACTTTAGAAGAATAAGCGTTTTATTAAACTAATTTAAGTGTAAATAATTTAGTCAAAGGCAATACTTGTAATGCTACTTGGGGGTAGTAAGCTCGGTTTCAATTTTGGTCCTTCTTTGTCTTACAACTTATAATCTCAGTTGACAACATGGCTGATGTTTGACTACAATAAACACGTGATGCCCATGGCCATATGGATGAGCTTGTGTTTGACTACCGGAGAATCAAACGAGTGAACGTTTTAAAAATATGTTCCGTTTTTAATGTTACAAAATACATGATTTTACTTCAAATAATTGCCAGGTTATTCAACGAAATTTCATCTGAAATTCAGTCTTCTGAGTTCTGAGGTCAATATTTACAATTAAATAATATCAAATGTTTTGGTTTAGAACTCATTAATGGTGTAACTCCGGAATAAGTTCATCAAACAATTTGATGCCAACAAATAAAAGACATTTAACATTGGTTGATTGGTTCTATTAAGTCAGTGATAATAATTAATATCTTTAGTCAGCAGTATGAACTATGAATTTAATAATTGTTAAAAACAACTTGATAAAATATTTTAAGTCATACTAATAACGAGGCAAACAACTGAAGGCTCAACAAAATACAATTAATTATCAACAACAATTTATAAATTAACGTATAAAATAAAACATCAGTTTTTCTCGTGAGATCGCTGGTAGAAGACGAAGGAGACGGCTGTATCCCAGGCTGAGTGTAAAGCAAAGTCCTTTATTTTGTGTTTACTTGTAGTGTGATTCCACTGTGCCACCTGAAATGTACCGTTATTTGTAAGTTAAGTTAAAGCCAATATACCCTGAATATTGGCTTTAATCTGACTGGATAATATGGTATAATCCATTCACACAAGCCATGTTGTTGTAAAGACCCGTATAGAGCCACCTCTAAGGGCTTTGAGACAGTTTATTAAATATAATATAATAATCAATAATATCGAAAGTCGTTTCAAAATATTTTCAAACTCAAAGTTGAAATCACACTCACACTAAAAAGATCAATTATTTTGTCAAATAGTAAAAATTAAAAAAAAAAAAAAAAAAAACTCTCGACACATTACAGTACGTGAGCATGATTAGCATCAGCATGCCTTTCATTTTATTTGTACCACTTAAGTCCCAGAACCTTTTATCTTTTAATTCTGCTTGCTATAGTTTGTTATAATATACGGCTATTCTAATTTCTAGAAATTTTCAAGCGTGACGATGAAAATTTTATCGCGAGAATTATCTTTAAGATTTTGTGCATTAAAAAGCCGCGCGGAGTGGGGTAAGGCTTGCTGTTATCAGCGCTTTGGCAGTGAAAAATATGCTGAAATATGTCAGTCCATTAACTTTAAGCGAACGTTGTTTATTACTGCTCGTTTATTGTGTGTTTGCTGTCGTCCTATGTTATGTTATGTTATGATATGATGTCATGATTTAGCGATTATTGGTCGCTGTATTACTCAATCATCCCTCATCTATTGGACTTCCTCAAACCAGGTACGTTGTGTAGCAGAAATGCTGGCCAGCTGTCCTCTGAGTTAGCTAGTGTTGACTGTTGCTCAAGAAGCACGCGTTTTGCGTTCGATTTGTAAATATTTATTGAAAATAAGCTAGGTAGGGACGTGATGTTCTTGTTGGTGTCTGTTAGAGCTAGTAAAGGTCCTTTAAAAAAGATGGATGCTTTGAAACATCGGTTATTGTACGTATCTAGCCATTCGCTACTGTTCTCATGATTTGAACCATGCGTGGGTATGTTATCTGGAAACAAATTTCTAATTGATACAGGTACTGTGTTAGGAAAGTGCTTCATGCGGTGCATTAATGTAAGCGCATTCTTTACGATGATGCCGTGTATTGTCAAAATCTCAAATTTGCAGAATGTTTCTCTGGTGTGAGCTGGCAATTTGCCGTCTTTGTAAAAGTAATTTACATATCCTGGCATAACCATCCGCATTCCTTGCTTTTGTTTACGGAATAATTTCTCAATGTGACATTTTGCCGCGAATCCCCAGGCTAACGAGCAGTAGTTAACATGTGCCTCAATAAAACTATGGTAGAGTTGTAGTCGCACTTTTAGGGGCAGATATCGTTTTAATTTGAACATGATGCCTATGTACCTACTCATTTTTAATCTTACCGCTGTGATATGTTTACACCATGTTAGTTTCTCATCAATTATAACACCCAGAAACCGTGCCTCAGTAACCCGTTCAATGTTTGTTCCAGATATGTTGAGACTTATTTTGGAATAATCTACTTTACGGTTACTGAAGACCATATAGTGGGTCTTCTTCAGGTTTAAAGAAAGCCCGTTGCTACTTACCCAATTCACTAGAAGTGTTGCAATCATAGAGAGCTTACTTTGAATTTCTTCCTCGTTATGGCCCGTGACTATAATATTTGCATCATCGGCGTAAAGTATGAACTTGGCCAGGTCTGAGATTCCGGGGAGGTCGTTTATATAGATGACGAAGAGTAGGGGGCCCAGAATAGAGCCTTGAGGAATACCATAATTGATCGTCTTGGGACTGGAATCAACCCCGTTGACTGTGACGAACTGATGACGATCGTGAAGATAGGAGTCGAACCAGCTTAGTGCTATACCTCTAATTCCGTAGTGTTCCAGTTTTTTAAGCAAAATTTTATGTTCAAGTAGGTCGAAAGCTTTGGAGTAGTCTAACAGTAGGAGCACCGCAATTTGTTTCCTGCCAAGGTAATGAAGGATAGAGTTCTGTGCATTAAGAAGAGCATGCTCGCATGACATCCCCGGTCTAAAGCCGTATTGGCTTTCGAACAGAGAGCCGTTTTTATCAAGAAATTCAAGGACTCTAGTGTGCATTAACTTTTCGTAAATTTTTGAGAATGAGCTAAGAAGAGATATGGGTCTATAGTTAGTGACATCTGTCTTACTACCTCCCTTGTGGATAGGGATTACGCGTGCAGTTTTAAGAGCAGTTGGAAATATGCCCTGTGTAAATGATGAGTTTATGATAGTAGAAATCACACCGGTGAACTTGCTATCATGGTTTGCGACTTTCATCGGCCCAATTTTGGTATCCAGTGTTGACTTATTCTTAAATTTTAGAATCACCTCACTCACCTCAGTTGGTGTTACCGGCCTAAGATACATCGAATTCGATGTTGGGTTCCTAAGATATCTACTAAAACCCCCAGGATCAAAAGTTTGTCTAGCACTGATCTGTGCTTTAATGTTTGAGGCTATATTTGAGAAGTAGTTGTTAAATTTTGCTGCAACATCGGTGCCATTGCTGATAATAGATCCGTCGTCGCCTTTCAGTTTTATAGAATTTTTTTCTTTCAACTTCCTGTTCAACAGCGTGTTAATCATTTGCCATTGCTTTTTAGAGTTCTCACAATGCTCGTCAAAAAATTTCTTATAATATTTTGCTTTAGCTAAGTCAATGTGCTTGTTGCAGAATTTATCAATTTTTTCATACGCTTCATCATTGGCCTTGGTTGAAGTTGTGATTTTTAGGTGGTGGAGCTTATGCCTTCGCGCACACGCATCCTCTAGCCAGGGAAGAATCCAAGGTTTTGGATCTCTTCGTTCATTTTTACGCCGCGGCCTGGATTTGTTCAAGGGGTATGCCTCATCATAATGTTTGGTGTAAATTTCACAAAATTTTTCGTACTGTACTTCACAATTTTCGTGTAAACTCACTTCACTCCAGTCCTCACTTTCGATCAAGCTTTGAAATTTAGCATTGTTAGCTTCGCCAAATCTCCGTGCCTGTTTGATACTTGGTTTTTTACTTGTAACCCTCCCGCATGGCCCCTCTCTGTCCCCAAGTAGAAGCGTAGTAAGGGTGGCTAGGTGGTCTGATACGTGTAGAGTAAGCACCTGACAACTTGCCAGATTATTGCTAATTCCCATAATTCTTTATTTTCTGACGTAAGTGAATAATAATTTAAACAAGAGCAGTACTACAATAAACACGTGATGCCTATATAAGGGTATATGACTAACCGAGCAGGACTACAATAAACACGTGATGCCCATATAAACTATAAAGGCGGGGTGCAACACCTAACCACGCCAATCCCGCCAATCCCGCGTAATCCCGCCAAATCCCGCGTAATCCCGCGTAATTCCGCGTTATCCCGCGTAATCCCGCCTAATTCCGCAAGTGCGGGGTTAGACGGAAATTGGCGGGGTTATGTGCTGCACCCCGCCTATATAAGGGAATATGAATAACCGAGCAGTAGTACAATAAACACGTGATGCCCATATAAGGGTATATGACTAACCGAGCAGGTGGTGTCAGCTTCCTCAGGAGGTGCTTTAGTCTGGATATTGTTAATACACCTCTTACATTGCAGTCTGGAGGGAATGGTATTAGAAACATAGAGAGAGAGTGATATAAAGATGAATTGATACAAATTAAGACGGAAAAGAACACATAGCCAGTAACAGTGTAGTAGCTGCATACCATTACTGTGTAGCAATGATGAGTGAATAATCAATTGTGTTTTAACATTAACAATTTAGATAAAGGATGTTATCATTGATTCTACTGTTGAACTTTTGCGGAGATATAACAACTAACTTATCGTGAGTATCGCTGAGAGTATCTGTCTTGAGGTTGAACAGTTCCCTAAGTTCCGAGAGAGAAAAGTGTCGCTCCACATTCTCTTCACAGTCCACCACCGCACTGCTCAAACTCTGTAACACAAGGTCAGCATTCAGCAGCGTGAATTTTCCCCGTTTTTATTTTGTAGTTGACAATTAACATTTATATTATTTGGTATTTTATTCAATTGTTCACATGTATGATGTGGTGTTCACGTAAAAAGTGTCGTAATTGAGTTTTGAGGTCGAAGTCAGATGCCAATCAAAAGAATCCAAAATACAATCGAAAAGCTGAGATTGCCCTTCAGTTGCGCTGTAAATCCAGGAACAATACTGATCGTTAAGTAACGATTAAAGTAACCATAGTAATTAGTAACCATAGTAACGACCCTAACCTTCTTATGAGTCTGTCTCTGAAATATCTTCTCCTCAATAGTTCCAGTAGTCAGCAGTCTGTATATAAATACAGGTTTCTTCTGTCCGTCCCTCCAGACCCGTGCCATAGCCTGCTCATCATTGGCTGGGTTCCAGTCAGGGTCAAACATCACCAGTCTGTTAGCTCCTGTTAGTTATATAATTAGTCAAACATCACCAGTCTGTTAGCTCCTGAGTTTTGGTTAAAATTAGATTTATTTTATTTGTTGTTATCATATAACTGTAGATTAGCCCCCCCCCCCCCCCCCCCCCCCCCCCAGATTAGGCAGTAGTAGGGTTTACTTCTTACAGAATTAAATTCTGGCTTGTTTAGTCCTTCACAGCGAAGGTGGTTCAATCAATTATTTGTTAGGTTTCAATTGTGTTTTGCCACAATATGTAGAATTCTATTCTATACCTATCAGGTTCAACCCACACGTAACCTAGTAACCTAGTAACCTAGTAACCTAGTAACCTAGTAACCTAGTTACCTGGTAACATAGTAACCTAGTAACCTAGAAACCTAGTAACCTAGTAACCTAGTAACCTAGTAACCTAGTAAACCAGTAACCTAGTAGCCTAGTAACCATAGTAACTTAGTAACCATACCTATCAGGTTGAGACCACACCCTCCTGCTTTGCTGCTCAACATGAACAGGAAGTCCTTACTGTCAGGGTCATTGAACTTGTCTACTATCTTCATACGCTTCTTAGCTGTCATTGAACCGTCCAGACGTACAAACTGGTACCTGTAGGAGTGTGTGGATGATAGGGATGTTATTGCAGATCTCAAAATATTAGACTACTACTATGTCGGAGCTAAGTCCGATCTACGCCAGAAAACCCCCTCCATATATCCCTGTCCCGCATCAGGGTTCGCAGTTCCTCTTTAGAGTTTGTCCCAACTTCCTTCAGTAGCATAGACAAGTAGCTTTGTCTTGGTCGGCCTTGCTGTGCTCTACCGTGCGTAGGTTCCCATAAGACTAAATCACTGGCAAGTAGCTCAGGATGTCGGATGCAGTGTCCCGCCATTTTTAATCTCCTGCTTCGTAACTTGTTTGACAGCCTTGGGAGGCTACCATACAAAGTTATATTGCTGACCTTGTCCTTCCATGAGATACCCAGCACCATACGCAACATCTTTGTGTATGTCCCGTCCAAACTTTTCTCTTGAGCCTTTGTCAGTGTCCAGGTTTCTGATCCGTAGAGCAGTACTGATTCACAAGCCGCTATGAACAATCTAATCTTTAGGCTCTTTGAGAGTTTGGATTTCCAGATATCCTTCAGTCTATGTAGGGCACCCCACGCTTTTCCCTTTCTAACCCTTATCTCCCTATCTGTGCTCTCAATCCAGGAGCCTAAGTAGATGAAATCATCTACATTTCCTATGGCTTCCCCGGATCGACTTTGTAGGTCGCTAGATCGATCCTCCATATTCAGTGTCATGACCTTGGTCTTGCCTTCGTTTATGTGTAGTCCCACGCTTGCTGCCGCCGATTCTACTCTGAGCAGGAACTCGTTAGCCTTGTCCATGTCCTCAGATATAAGTGCTATATCATCTGCAAAGTCCACATCGGTGATGATCTTGGGCCCCACTCTTCTGCTTTTTCTACGTTCGAGGGTGAGTCCAAGTCGCTCCGCATCATCGCCTATGGCTTGCCTCATACAGTAGTCGATGACTATTGCAAAGAGGTAAGGTGCTAAGGTATCACCCTGTAACACACCTGCAAGTATCTCGAACAATTCAGTTTCTCCGTCTGGAGTTAGGACTTTGGCCATTGTCTTCTCGTACATGAGCCGTATAAGCTGCACGATTTTGACTGGAATGCCGTAAGCTTCTAGAATCTTTAGCATTTTCCCACGATGTACACTGTCGAAAGCCTTCTTAAAGTCTATAAATGTCAGAACAGCTGGCAGTTTCCGACTCTTGACACCCTCTATAAGACGTCTCAGTACCAATATCTGTTGAGTTGTTGACCTTCCTGGTCTGAATCCATTCTGGTTTCTACGCAGAATTGTCTCGATTTCTGGCTTCAACCGGTTTAGAACCATCTTGTTTAGAGACTTGGCAACTAGGGATGACAAGCTTATTCCCCGATAGTTCATTGGTTCGCTAAGGTCGCCCTTCTTTGGAATTGGTATGATGTTGGCAGTTGACCATTGGTCTGGTTTCTCACCTTTCAAAATATTAGAGATATATCAATAAAGTGTTATATAGCGTTGGAACAGAGTCAATATATTTAATGTTGCCATAGGATGAAAAGTCCCCATTCATCGCAGCCCGCTAGTTTCACTGCCTTCTAATACTAAAGAGCCATAATATTAAACGTGTAGTGAGAGATAACTTAGTAAACATAGTAACGTACCCTCGGAGTCTTGCCAGATGTTCGAACACGTCTAGAGTTTGGGTATAGTTGGATACCAGGACAAACCTATCATCAGTCCGGGACTTGGTGGACGCTAAAATACAGTCTAGCACTGCCAGCTTACCTGAAATAAGGACGTTAAAATAGAGTCCAGCACAGTTTTGAGTTGCTCCCGTTGTTTTACTCACCGTACAGTCGCTCAATCCTCCAAAGACCAAGAGCCGCGGTAGTGATATTATAAAACAGTATAAACAATATAAACAACATGTCATGTTCACATCTCAGTAATACTGAACAAAAACTTAATGTCATTTGTTGCATAGTGGTGTGAGGTGGGGGGGTACCAATGGCATAAAATGGCATAAATGGCATACGTTTTATGGCATAAATGGAAATTTTTATTGGCCAATTCTCCATTTATGCCATGAATTTAGGTTCATATTTGACTATAAAATTGGCAAATTATTATTAGATACTTGAATAAGAGACATTGTTTTCATGCTTTATAACGCTTGGAATGATCGTTAAAGAGTCATATGACAAAATAAAGAAAATAGAAATGTATTAATCAAAAAATGGCATAAATGGCATACGCGTTTTATGGCATAATGGAAATTTTTGTTGGGCCAATTGTCTCCATTATTGCCATTTATTCCATTGCGGTACCCCCCCTTTGAGGTTCAATCTCTTAATACAAATAAGAAACTAAAACGCAGATAATTGGATGATCTAGAAATAACTCATCGGTCTATTCACCTTCTCTAAATATTTAAAATGATAAAATATTAAAGTTCTGTTCAACTCTTCAAAGGAGTGTTCTCTATCACTGGAGACAGCAACAGTGACTCCTACAACAGGTGCCCCGTTAACTGTTACTTCAAAGACATGACAGAGGAACACAATGGGAAGCTAGTCCAGAAACTGGGGTCACGTTGAAGAATGACAGAGCTAGTAAATAGAAACCAGCTGCTTAGTGCTTACAAACAATCCACCCCATACGATAAAGTAAGACGTCTCTAAGTAACACTCCACTGTAACCTCTATTTATCTATATTACTGCGATCAGAAACCTCTCATTTCGTGATATAAGTTGCATTCAGTAACCTTTCATTTCTATATACTGCATTAATGGTTGCTGCTCAGTGTGCTGTCGTTACTAATACCCAATTGTGTAAGGGATTCCAGATCTACCAGTGTGGCCTAAACAGTTCAGATGGTCTACTCTGGTTGTCCCTGCTGGTTACAGTTGTGTTAAGATAACAGACCTCCGATCCGGATATGGTGAGGACAATTACTTAGCTGGGAGAAAACACTGTGCCAAACCCATGTAGAGTCCAAGGAACCTAGTAAACCTAGTACCTAAGTCACCTAGTAACCTAGTTACATAGTTAACCTAGTAAACAACTACTTCTGCTGGGAGATAACCACTGTGCTAACCCAGGTAGAGTACAAGTAAACCTTGTAACCTAGTAACCTAGTAAACCTAGTAAATAGTAACCTAAGTAACCTAGTAACCTGTACTAGTAACCAACTACTTCTTGCTGGGAGAACACTGTGCCCAAACCGGGGAAGAGTCCAAATACTGATTAAACTACGGAGTTTAGGAGAGAAAGGAAACAGCTGTATTACCAAAATATTCACTTATGATTTCTGTCTTTCATCTTTATCTACCTTACCCTTGGAAGTTATTTTTGCCTGCTTTAGTTTCTGTAATACTCAAATAAACCTCCATTTTTGAAATGAATATTTCTCTCACTTTATCTGCCTTACCTTGTATTGGAGTTTCATGTATTGGAAGTTCCAGTCAATTTCCTTAATTTGAACCCTTAATTTTTACACCAGGTTTCCAGGGAGGTACGCCGGGAGATTAAGTGGAATGCGCTGACCAAAATAGTGAACCTCAGATCCCCACGCGTGGGCGGAACAAAATACCTGTGTGTACCTAGCAACACTAACTATCACTTCACTGGCTCACAGTGGGGGTATGATGCAGAGTGGGAGCAGTTGTGTGCGTGGTGGAACTAGTGAAAAGCATACTTGGCAGGACTAACTACCTGTGTGGTAATACAGGGGCTGGACCGAGTTATGATGATCATAATTCGAGTAATGACGGGCTACTTAGTAACCATAGTTAAAACGACCCTAATTACTGTCCTACTTAGTTACTTATTAGACTTGCTTAGTTAACAAATTAGGATTTTTGCTGGAAATGGTTCATTCTTTCACTTGGTTTCTATGATCGATATTACGGTAATCTCATACGTTCATTGGACAATAACGCAGTAACACTTTTTGATTTTTAAGAAAATAATATCGAAATCTAATGAAAATGCCAAAACTACATAAGTCTTTATCGTCGATTACGACCAACCCCGTACAGAATGTGATCGTGAAGTAGGTCTAGTGGTCTGAAAATGATAACGAGAGGAAATGAACGATGAAAAATAAATACCTCAACAAACAAACAAACATACAAAAAGGGACAAAACCAGAATAGTATAGGCTGGAGTTTTCTGATTGGTGCGTTTCCAGGTGATCGAGAGCAATCTTCCACCCGGGGAAGCCCGTTCTTCGGCCTTCTCTCTGATAGCGCTGGGTCTGGGGTTATTATAGAAGTAGAGTAAGAGTCAAACTATGTGAAATTATTCATTGCAGTTAGTCGAATAAAATCGGTTAGTAGGCTAATCTATAACGAACTGAACTGACTTGGTAAGAATGGTACACTTTTCAAACTTTAGATGTGAAAAGTTTTTAACATCTACATTCTCATACCAATGGACCAACAAAACTATAGTACAAGTGCTAACTCACAGTGTACGTGCTAAGTGCTAAGTGTAAAGTGCTAAAGTACTAAGTGCTAAGTGCTAAGTGCTAAGTGCTAAAGTGATAAGTGCTAAGTACTAAGTGCTATGTGATCTAAGTGCTAATGTAAGTACTAAGAACTAAGTCTAAGTGCAAAGTGCTAGTAATAAAGTATAAGTACTAAGTGCTAAAGTGCTAAGTACTACGTGCTAAGTACTTAGTACTAAGTACTAAGTGCTAACTACTAAGTGCTAAGTGCTAAGTGCTAAGTGCTAAGTGCTAAGTGCTAACTCCCACTGTGGCTAAACTGCAAGTGCTAAGTGCTTAAGTGCTAAGTGCTAAGTGCTAAGTTGCAAGTTTTTTTTTCTTAAGTGCTAAGTTCTTAAAGTGCTAAGTGCTAACTCACAGTTACAAAGCTTCTAAGATTAGTGTTAGAAGAGAGAGCCCCAACTGCGCATTCTTTTATCAGCCGAGCTAATCGAGTAGTTTTAGAGTTAACAAAGGGAAAAGATGTGTGATGCAGATTGTAGGATGAGAGGGCCGACCAGCATTACTACTTGTTCTATTTTTTTTGGGAGGTACTTGATAGGATAGCTGTGTTCTTCTGATGATACACCTGTGTGGATATATGATATTGTGATATTATCGGTAAATTAACATGAATCTCTTCTCTATTATTTCTGTGAAATTAGGGTCCCATTCATTTTTTTCTGACTTAATTTTTCCTGACTAAAAATAACGAAGTTGAAGACGTTTTCGTTTAAAAAAGACGATCATAATATCTCAGAATAATAACCTGTTTACTAGAGCGAGCAGCTCTTTCAGCATCGCCTCCCCCCTAACTTTTCCTGTCAGACGGCAAACGAGTCACGTGGACTTTAAGATGGGGTTCACGAACTTCCTCTGAAGTCTGCTATCGACCCCAACATCCTCGTTTTGACAAAGTGATAGACTGAAGTATCAAGCAGGTCGTTCTGTATAGGGGTGCCGGAGAGGAAGGCTCTACGTTTGCAGTTCAGCTTGTTCAGGAGCTACGTAGGTTTGGGAGTCACAGTTCTTTAGACGGTGCATTCGTCACATGATTATCTGACCGATTGACTGGAAGTTGGAGAAAGTAAATAATTAAGTTGGTTCGGACAACTTAAAATACATGTATGGTCTAGGAAGTTGTACAATTTACAGTACGTAAAAAAAGTGCGTTTACCTTGAGAGGCAAGTGATGTGAAGTCTAGAGAGTCTATAGACAGGGATCAGAATCGGATACACAACTCTCCGAGGAGGTGACAAAGTTAGACCAAGTAATATCTATCTTCTGTTTGGAAACCGGAGTCAATGGCGAGGGGGGGTGATGCGCCTTTCAGCCATTTGTAGTACTCGTTATTACCAATTCTGTAATTATATCAGATATTAACAACTCAAATGTAAGTATTGGAAGTTTGAACTTAAAATTCGTGGAAGGTATGCTATGATTGATATGCTATGATATTATTAACAATTGATTTTACAACGAATAACGTCATTTTACAAGAGAGAAGGACACACAAGTAACAACCCTATCAATAAACTGGTTTACATTCCGGTCCTGTTTCAAGAGAGGTCCACGAGGGGCGACACACTTCAGTGTCTTAACCAGTCCCATATCATCAGCCATATACAACCGTAATTATAGGTGCTGTAATACGGTCCACACAGCGGTTACATACACCGTACTCCTGGGTTAAACGTTTCATGGACTAAAAGCCTACCCGGTGAGCAAGTCTGAAAAATATCTATCTGAGAAACAAAATTAAAAATAAGCCAGAGTGGTTTATAACCTACCTCCCGTTGATTGAATGGTCTCAGATGTCTCCAAATCGGATCTACAACAACAATGGACCTCGTCTTTCGCATCTTCTGGAGGTTTGTAGAGGGCTAGAGCATTTGGGCATCAGGGTCGATGCAAAGAGCCTTCACGCAGCCTGACGGAGCACTAGAGAATTTGCGGTACCCGCCTAAAAAAGCAAGCATGTGAATTAATGTTCAAAATCTTCAAATGAAGGTATAAAATGGTTGGCGCGCTTTTGACATTGACTAGCGTCATGCAACTTTGTCTTGAGCGTTACAAAAACAACAAATATCATGGGCAAAACTTTCACGTGTCGCACACGTTACACAAAATAAGCAAGTCTTGTTCTCGACTTACTAGCAACGTAGTTTGGTATTGGATTTGAAATGGCTTGCAAAGCCGAATCTTGATAAGGTCCTCCGAAGATGTTTAAAAGTAGGAGGTTATCGTTCAGGGATATTGAGAACACTTAACTATACAATCAAGACGGCAAGCGGCAGTGTTAATTCAGTAACGCAACAGAATAATATGTGAATACAAAATATGTGATTATAGAATACACAACTTACCTGAGCAGAGTAAGATTCATTTTCTCTTTGTCCTCAGAAACTTCCTTTAACACCTCTGGAGACAATAATGGAGTTGAAATTGTGAAACCTCCAGCTACAATTATTAGGATAATCTGTAACTAATTATTAGGATACTGGAATGACTTACCACGCGGAGGCTACTAAGTAAAGAAAGTATTTAATTCCTAGTTGTAAAACTTGTTAGACTTGAGATGAACATATTGTGTTCGCTGATTATTCCTCTTTACGATTGGCTCGGCGCCAGAATCGCGCGCTAGTGAAAAGTAACATGTTAACAAACTCAAATACAAAACAAGATTCCAGAGCAAAGACTGCAAGTGTTTCTATTGAAATTAAAAGATTCCCAAATCTCATGTTTAACAAACTTAACTAACCCAAAAAACGATTAAAGTGAGTAGATAATTTCCTCTATATTAATTAAAATACGGGATCTAAATATCTGAAGGAATAGGAAGAAGAAGTTAGAAAAGACCACGTAAACAAACTTACCATAGGGGGGGAGCCAAGTGGATATTTGTAGATATTTGTAGATTAATGTTAGAATGGATAATCCACGGAAAAAAGTGGATGACATTCTACAAATTTATTAACATTTATCTCCAAAAATTCAGTAAGAATTTCTGGGCACATATTTGAGGATTTCATTTTTTTGTAGATAAATGTAGTTATTCGTGTTATTGTCAATTATGGATAATTTACGAAAATTCTACAAATTCTACAAATTTATACATTTATTTCAAAAATTCAGTAGAATTTCTGGGCACATATTTGAGATATACATTTTTTGTTAGATAAAGTAGATATTTGTAGTTATTGTCAATGGATAATTCTCGAAAAAAGTGCGATGACATTATCCAATATCTACAAATATCCAGCTTGGCTCCCCCCTACATAGCTTAAAGAAGATAAAGCTGGTATACATGGACTGGATCTCTTTCAGCTCCACTTCAGTTATATTAGACTTGTTAGATTTACATCTGTTCATGGGGTCTATTCTGTGGAGGATAACTTTGTTAATCTGAACACTGAGTAGGGGAAATCATGGAGGACATAATAATACTTGAAACCGTGATTGTTTGAATTGAATATAATAGGGTTTTGTGTTCTAAGTAATAACAGAGTTTCGACATAAGGTAATTTCTGCTTCTTTACAGTCTGAACGGAGAAATCAAACAAGTCGGATTTAAAAATTCAATTGTCAATCTATAAAACATTCTCAAATAAGTATAAACTGAAATCAAGGACCATAAAAACATTAATAAGTTATCTATTTGCGTTTTAAATTCATAATCATAAAGATATATGTAATTCATTTTATAATGAAGCTTTGAAAAATCAAACCCTCTGAACAAAGTAGCCATTTACAAAACCCAATCACTTACTAACGTCAAGACATTAAGCACAATCTCCACTCTAAAAACATAGGTCACTATCTCGGAGGTATCTAACGATACACTCAATCAAGATCCATAATTTTAACTTACCGTCATCATCCCATGAACAACATTCACAGGCTAGGACCCAGGGGAGGAACCCGTCCACAACTCAGTGAAAGTGTCGGTCAGATGTATGGGGGCAGTTACATAAACACTACCGCTACTGCTACATATTCTGGGGTTCCTCCTAGCGTCCTTGTGGTACCTGCAGAGTGGGTATAGTTACCAGGCACGTTACCATGGCAACAGGGGGGTTTGCATGGGCAACACGGGGGTTACGATGTAACAAATACGGGGGTTACCATGGCAACACGGGGGTTTACAATGGTAACCGGGGTTAGCATGGTAAAGGGGGGTTAGCATGGTAATCGGGGGGTTTAGCATGGGTACAGGGGGGTTAGGCATGGTATACAGGGGGGTTAGCATGGTAACAGGGGGGTTAGCATAGGTCACAGGGGGTAAGCATGGTAACAGGGGGGTTACATGGTAACACGGGGGTTAGCGGATCATTGAATCATTGTCTCACGTGACATGTCACACATTTTGAATGTAAGATAATTTGTTATCTGATAAGAAACAGCCAGATGTTACAATTTTCTATTATTTCACCTGGTTTCTAGCCTCTTTAAACATCTTGGGACCGAAAGGACGTAGTATGAACTGCGGTATCAGAGTATTAACCCCGGGTATCACAATATTTACAACTGATCCCATATCGCCTGATTGAAATGGTGGGAAGAGTTTTTAAGTTGAGGAGGAACCAGAAATAAGAAATTTTACCGTTCAGGGAAAGAAAACGATGAAAATATCACACGAAGACAGATCATCAGTTGAAACAGAAATTTCTAAATCTCCAACCGCCTGAACTAGCGACTACTACACCCCAACAAACCCCCATTCAACAGCAAGTGTTTTAGCTAGAGCCTCTAACTCCAGATCTTGAGAAAACACTATGAGCAAACCCCGGCCAGCCCCCGTGTAGTCCATCAGGATGTTAACAATAGATCATCCGTTCTCTTTCATACACTGTTTATATACGGACTGAGTGAGGAAGAAAGGTACCCGGAGTTCGTGTTTACAACTGAAATTAAAATGAGTTAGCTCCAAAATAATAACAACCCTAGTAACACCCTAGTAACACCCTAGTACACCCTAGGAACACCATAGTAACACCCTAGTAACACCTAGAAATACGGATGAGAGAGGAAGAAGGTACCCCGGTGGTTCGTGTTTACAATGAAATTAAGAGGAGTTTGCTCAACATAATAAACACCCTAGTAACACCCTAGTAACACCATAGTAACACCCTGCAACACCATAGTAACACCCTAGTAAACACCCTAGTAATACGGACTGGGGTGAGGAAGAAGGGACCCCGGAGGTTCGTGTTTACAACTGAAATTAGAAGGAGTTAAGTCACTATCACAATAGAGTTGTCTTTACAGATGAACAATGGAAGGTAAACAACAAACATTAAATCAGGCAAGGTATCTAAAACCCTATCGCGAGGAATACAACCAATCACAATATAAAAAACTGGATTCACACTAAGACAATAACGCTGTTTTCAGTTAAACCGAACACCATTCCCTCTCACCTGCATCCCGCCGTTAAGGAGTGGATCATCTCGCAGGTTTACAAACTGTCCTCCTCCGTTATTAACCAGGTAGTCCCCATTACCGTGAAGAAGTGATAAAGGAGTTTACAATTGCTCTATCTGCTCATTCTTCCTAATTCACATTGGTATGGGATCACTCTTCCTTCACTCTCCTGTTGTGAGTGATAAAATGAGTTTTCTATGCTGATATACAGAAATGTCTGAGGGTACACTATTTTTGACTTTATAATCACATAATCACCAAATGATCAGTTAAATCGTTTAATTAACTTTAAACAATTGAACATATAAATTCTAAAGTCAGGGTATTTAAACCTTCTTACTTGTACTTTTCGTTATAAATTCCTGTGCAGTGTTCTACTTTTTTGAAGTGACCGGGAGGCTATAGCAACTTCTACAGGCCTTTCTGTATAACAGTTCCTTGATACCTTTACAATACCTTTAACAGAAAATATAATACGGCTGCTTAAGAAAATAAATATGTTCACTAAAACCGACGTCATTCATACTGAATAGTAGAAATAAAGAACTCTTAGTGTCAACCATAACTGACACCGCACTCCAAAATTGACTTAATTCCTGTACACCTTCAGTTACATAGCAGTTTTTACCAACTAATGAAGAGTACACGCGTATCATGTATACTCCTCTCGCTTCACGCAATACTCGTTTCACCTTCACTTAAAATGTCTAGCTGCACAGAACAGGAGTTCTATTAGCATTTGGCACGTCATGTTATTATGATATTAAGAGTTAAGTATTCGTTATCATGATGTGTGTTTATGTTATGAACTGGTGAGTAAAGTGATAGTAATTATAGTAAAGATTTGGAGTCAATAGTTTTTGATAATTTTTAGACATATTTAGTTTTGTGATGTTATAATTTTTCAAAAGTACGCACTGAAAATCGACGATTGTAAATCTGAGCATAATTTAGTAAACCAAAAACTCAAATAGTAAAAAACTGCATAATCAATTAAATTAAACTCATATGTCCGGACTAGAACGTTAGGGAAAGTCTCAACTAGAGAACTAGACCTCTAACTCAGGCCTGTGAGACGGGGCCCCCATTAGAGACAGTAACTCGTTATCAAGTACACAGCTGCTGGCTACATCGGCACTTGTCTGGCTTGTCATTGTGTGTCCCACTCTACCTCGGCCCATCTGACAGGAGATATAATT